TTATACAAATATTATTATAATATAATCGTGTATTATAATTTATAAATCATAATAATATATTATATTGGTATTTCATGCAGTTATACATTTTTACTAATTGTTTTATTTATACTCTCGCGCACAATGTCATAATATGGTTTTTACCCATACTTTGGCAGTGGCTTTTAAACTTTTGATTTTATACTCAACATTTTAGGCAACGTTCTTTGAGGAGCACCTTGAAATTATAAAAATTACCAAACTGATAACTCCAGATTGTCGCAAGTCTATATAATTAGTTTCGTAAATTAGTAAATTAGTAGGAAGGATTGAAGGAATTATTAACTGACTTATTAATTGATTTAAGGCTCATTATAATTAATGATGATACCGACTGACATTAGACATGATAGCATGCGCATAAGAACAATAGGTACCGTTTATTCAGCACTTCAGTAAGACATTAAATTCTCATTATATATATTCAATAATAATAATTAGGAAATAGAGATATTATAATAAATTGATTAGGAGTTAGGGACAGCATAATATACTCATCCGTGCAAGCAATAATACCCACTACAGAATTTCAAATGCGCAAGTGTAATACATTGTGGGTAGGTATATTGTTTTTCCATAAACAAAGTTTGGCGTAAAATAAAAAAAACATTTAGATTTCAGGTATGTATGATGATATTGTAATAATCGTTAACCATAAATTAAATAAAATATTATACAGGGTGGGCTACGGGAATAGAGACAAAAGTAGACGGGTTTTTCTCTAGTTTAGCTCATTCGATCCATCAGATAATTCCGTTTCGTTGTCACTATGGAACAGTGGAGTGTCGTTCACCGTGTGTTTGCGTACGATGCATTTGTGAAAAACAATGAATCGGTAGTTAAGGTGCAGCGCGTATTCAGACATCATTTCAGCGTCGTAGGTATTGGTGCTGCTCACAGTGGGAAAACAACTATGAGGTGGGTTGTGGGTAGATAGTTTTCGAATGGGGACAGTTAATAATAAAAAAAAAAATGGTCCCAAACGTAATGTAACAACTCCCGAGAATACGGAGTCTTACCGTATGAATGTCCGCTGCACCTTAACTACCGATTCATTGTTTTTCACAAACGAATCGTACCCAAACACACGGTGAACGGCACTCCATAGTGACAATGAAACGGCATTATCTGTCGGATCGAATGAGCTTAACTATAGCTAACCTTCCAACTCAAATTCAACGTTGAGAAAAAACCGTCTACTTTTGTCCCTATTCACGTGGACCACCCTGTAGAAGTACCCATCGTATACCTATAATATTATATTATGTGCTCATTGATTGGTTGTGAAAAATGAATTCATTCTGGTAAGACATATATGAAATTTACGTCTTGCTTACTATAGTTGACAGTTGAAACTTGAGAAATATATTTTTTTAAAGTAATAATAATGCTTTTTATAGCCCATTAGCCACTCCCCCCTGCGTACGCCACTGATACTATATACTAGTCGAACTTATAATAATGTTTATATAATAATTAAATGGAAGTATAAGTTACGTTTTTCATTTATTTAATCTCATATCCTATTCTCTACCACTGATCAATACGTCAAGCAGTCAAGCTTGATTACAGTGGCATAATCTTGATGGGAGGGAGGGTATTTGGGTGTCGTATTCCCGCATGGCTTTTTTTTTAAACTGGCGAACCATATTTAAGTACTTACTTATTTAAATAAAAATATCATAATTTATAGGTATTAGGTACTAAAATATATTTTATAAAAATAATACAAAAACCCCGACTCCCTAATTCAAGCTGTACATCACATAAGATAATATAGGAATAGGTAAATACTATTGCACAAATATATTGAAATAACGAAATACGTCATAAGCATAACAATTCAGTTTAGCTCCTAAGTAATTTTTTTAAAAGTATTTTAAAAGGTATTTTTTTTGAAGGTATCTCATCGAGTTAAGAACAATAACAATAACCAGAGTTTGTCGGTCGGACTAGTTTCAAAGTTATAACCTTTTGAAGTTTTTTTTGAGTATTTTACGCCTACCCAGATTATTCTACGAATCTACATAACTTTATTATAGGTATGTTATTGCATAATTTTTTTTTTAATGCATTTATATTTTATATATTATACAGATCACAAATACTGTACGGAGGTCTGAGAGGTATTTATTAAATTAAAAAACATTTTTTTTCGGTGAGAGAGTAAATGTTTCAACCCCTCCCCCCTACACACACACAAACAAACAAATATGACCAAATTACGGTACTGAAGCAGTCGACAATCATCCATTCAAAATCTGCTCCTTTTCAAGATTATTAATTTATCATCCAATATACCCTTATTTTCATCCAGTTCACCGGCGATCGGCACGGGAGCACCAGCAGCACATAATATTATAACATATTTTACAGTAATAATTATATTGTCGTTCATGGTTATGACATCGAGTCATTCAAGCGGTCAAACAATCATAAACCTAACTGTGCAATAATGCATTTTAGTCTATATATATATGGCCGTATAGTTATTTTAATTTTAAATAAACCATTTTATTGATGTTTATACCTACACAGTGAATAAAATATATACTATATATAATTATCTATATAATTATCAATATTATATTTAATATATTATTTTCCTACTACATCGCACGGTCAGCGGAAATAATAACGCATCGTGTAACACGACTGCACCAGTCATAAGTTATTATAATTTATGACCAAAGTAGTTTAATATTTACATAATATATTATTATTCATTGTATATCACAACTGATATTTCAGATTTTTACGATGGCATACTTGCATAATATGTTATTATTTACCTGTGAATTTTCGGAATAGGCATGGGTAAGCACCAGCTATACCATATAAATATTACTAATAGGCAATTATAATAATATATTATATTGGGTTCGATGCAATATAATATGTATATAGCTGTTGAAGAACGCGGAAAACGACGATAGTTCGTTGCAAAATTAATAATAATATTATAACAGTTGATGGAAACCAGGCTAATATATTATTTTATTTCAGGTACACCCGACGACGACGAATCGTTGCGATAAATAATTTTGAGCTCGTGGTGAGGGCTTCGGATAACCACGGATAATTGAATAATTTAATTATATACGATAGCGTATGTGTGTGTGTGTGTGTGCACGACACTTTATATTATATTCCGAGCGATGACAATAAAACGCACTCCGTTATTGTGAGCGAGGTACAGATTAAAAGGGTTCCACACGTGGGGCACCGGTGGGCAAAAAAATATTGGATTTGTTACCCGTCCTCTGCACCCGTGTTCGGATTTCTATTTTCGGAGGATGAAAAAAAAAATAATTCGTCATAACGTCAATGTTGGCTTTGTGTTTAACTGTTTTTCGGTTTTTTGTGCGATTTGTTCCGCTTCGTCGATCCGACAGAAAACGCATTACTTGTCCGCGTGTGCGAACGCCGACGGCGGCGAGACGTCATATTAATTCGCAGTCAATAATATAATATAATATGATTTACGTAACGAAAAATATTAAATAGGTATGAGGATAGTAGTAAACGATAAATATTATCTTTTACATAGGCGTGTCTACGGTGGCAGCCTACGATGCCTGGGCTGCCCCTGCAATTTTTGAAAGGCGCCGGTCAACCGAGTTTTAAGTCCGAGGGTTATAACATATCTTTTTTTTTATAAAATTGATTTTTTGTGGGTATCGTCATAATTACCATTTACTTCCAAAGATTGATTTCCTGACTTCCGAAATCGGAAAAATCTATTATAAAGACTTGAGGCAGACGACGACGGTACAGTACGCATCTAGGTATTATTGATATAATTGTTGTATTATTTTTGATTTGTAGCTAGGTGGTGAGGTAATCCAAGGCTATAGTTGAATAATATTTCTGAAGTTACTGTAGATTATTATTGTAAATAGATAATTTAGACTTTTTTTTAAATATTTTTGTAAATATTTCATTGTGGAGGGGGGCTTAGAAAAAATACGGCTTTGGGTGTATAGGGTTTTTTTTCGGTTCACTAATAAGGTAACGCCGGTTATTAGCTAGGCTGCCTCTGCCGATGAAGTCTATAGTCAAGCCTACATGATCTTATAATAAAACGCGCGTCTTATTTTCAATACAATTTCACGTTATTTTGTGATGTATAATTAATATTATTACGAAATCACGATAATATTATAAAACAATAACAATATTCAGATTTATGAGACGCGCGTTGTGTAGATACAGCAAAAAATAATCATTGAAATCACGTAAAAACGGATCCCCCTGCCAAGAAACGCTACAATAACAGCTAGTATAAACGCAACGGAGTTGTTCAATTATATTTTATCAATTTTTATTAAATATAAATAACAATTAAAAGGAATAATTATATATATGTTCAAATAGTAATACATAATAGTATAATAATCGTTCGTATAATCTTTGTTCGCATTCCGGAGAAGGTGCGTACTCGCGAATAGAGTTTATAATATTATATATAAAATAATAATTATATCATAGTATAACACGTACGTTACATAGACATAATTTATGTACACTGAAAATAATAATAATCAACACGAATTTCTTATAAACAAAAAATAATTTGGACGAAATAAAAAAAAAATAAAAATGTCACGAGGGAATGTTTTGTTCGTCGTATAGCCGCAATACTGTTTAAGTACAATCATATAGTATATAATACATAGAGATAATAATTATTCAAATGACAATATATAGTTTACATAAAAAAAGAACGCGTTATGTACAAGTCGCTGGATTTGTTTGAGAGCGACATCGTTTCGTTTTGTTCGAACAATGGTATACATGTTAATAATAATCGTAAAAACAAAACGACCATCGACGGAGCGCGGAAGTTTTGTAATGGGAAAAATTTTGATCAAAACGAAAAAAAAATAATTAATATAAAACAAAATAATAATAATAATAATATAGGAAGTAATTCTAATATAATTTTTTCGTTGAAGTCTTTAATGCCTCATGTGACTGTCCTCAGTGGCCAACGTCGCGTTAAAGTTTTCAAACTGCCACATTTGCTTGGGCAACATTAAGTCACATTCTTCCATGAGCAGCTTGTCTTTGGTGCTATTGATGGTCAGACACTTTCTACTGCTACCATGCCGTAGCTGTTTAGTCTATACAAATGTGCAAAGAAATATATTATTTTTATTTTTATTTATATTGTTGAACATATTTTGTAATTACGAAATTTCAAAATATAAAATCGAGAATCTAGAAATCGATAAAAAGTTAATCTATTAAATATTTATACATTTCAAATTATATTCCATTTCGAATAGGAGAAATTCAGTATCGAAAAATTAGTTTGAAGTTGTTACTCATCTCTAACTTCAATATTTAGTTAAGTTTATCGTGAACACTAGAGAATAATAGCGATGACTAAGAAACTTATCGAAACCGTTTTATTGAAATTTATTATCATATTTAAAACTTTGTTATTCAAACACTGTCAAACATGTACTGGTTTTCTAAAACAACTTTGTTTTTCCTGTTTTTTGAATGCATAAAAAATCAAACCCTTTATTCTTCAAATACCTTTATTTTCAACAAAGATAAAAATAAATTATGTTTGTATGAACAAAAACGAATATTGGTACGAATACAACGAAGTATTATACACTATATACATATACATACACACCCCAAACGGTTGTCTATAACACTACTGGTAAAAATAATACTATAGCTGTTTGATCAATTGTCAGCCTTTATTATTATTATTATTTTATTTTTTTACAAATACTTGTATATTTACCTTTTTTCAACCTACTGCCTACTGACATTTCTTTTTTTTATGCAATCAAATAGTTATTAATATATGTTAAGGGACCACACATACACATATTTTATTGAATTTTTGTTCTCATCAAGGAAATAAGGGGATATCCGATATACATTAACGATTTTCAGTCTATAACACATACGACGTATGAAAAATAGCAAAAGAAACAATTTCTTTCTCATATAAATATAACACACCCGATTATATAAAAAAATACATATATATAAATAAACCCACTGCACATTATATTGTACGTTTTACATGGAAAATGGTTTCATCAATACTCACTTTATGGTCGTAGTTCCAATACTGGTTGCCCTTAGATCCGTGGCATGGATATAAGATTACGTCGCCACCAGCGTAGTCCAAGCACGACTCGTCTCTTCTGATCTCTCCGATCTTACTGAGCATCCAGTACTAAAGTAATTTAGCATAAAACACGCAATTAGTATAATTAGTGAAGTTGCTAGTTGGGGACGGAGGGGACATTATTTAATTGAACAGGTCGGCCGAGTACGGTAAAACCAACATACAGGGAAGAATGTTTGTCGGACAAATAAAATGACACATACTTACGTGTATTTTATAAAAACATACACACACGTCGATACTATATATAATTAAATATATATATATATAATATATAATTAAATATATATATATATATATATAATATATATATATATATATATATAATATATAATATATATATATATATATATATATATATATATATATATTATTTTCGAGTGTGTATGTCATTGTAAATAATATATAGTATAACAGAGAAGGATGATGATAGTATTATAATATGAGGAACGTGCATGCATTTGCGTATTAGTCAAATATTATAGTAGCTTTGAAAAATGTTTGTATTTTAAGTAGAACATTAAATTTGTAAGAGCCCCTTGACTTTATTGCAACAATGTCGAATCGCATGCGTGCGCGCTCGTGCAGTTTGTCCAGCGCAATGCATTCAAAAAGCCACCGTTTCTAGTACCTAATGAGAATTATGACACTGATGTGAGCACGGACATTTTGTACCTACTCATTATTGTCATTGCGTCATTTTAAGTCGCGAGGTGGTTGTTACGTCATCACGAAAAAAATATTACTTTACTCGCACGGTCCCATAAAAAAAAAAAAAAACCAATCCACGGAACTGGATAATACAAACTACAACGAAATATTGAAATCATTATATTATGATCATTGATAGTAGTGCGAGAACATAAAAACATTAACATCCACGTGTATGTTATCACCGTGACATCGTTGAGTGGCGCGATCGCGAGCAAACACCCACCCCTCTCATTAAAGGCCCAACGATTTTTTGAAACGCTCTTACAAATATAGTGCCAGTACGTAATACGATATGATCGTGTTAGGGGCGTATTTGCGACGGTTCGGAAGTAAAAGCGGATGAAGGAAAAAAAAGCAAAATTTAATAACACCACCAAGTTTAAAAAACGTGAACAAGACGACAGCGAGTACATACAAGCTTGTGGTTTTGTTTAAAACAAGAACTCTTTCTCTGTTAATTTATGTTTTTTTTTTAAACAATATTTTTTTATATATATAAGTTAATATAAACCATTAGGTCACTACCTCTTTTGTGATTTTTCACTAGGTTTATAATTTTTTTCTAAAGTTTATTTTGTTCTATTTTTTTAATTTTGAAGTAGTATTCTGTATAAAACATTTTTATAGTGTGTTGAAATAGTCTATCGAACATAATATGCACCAATTATTTATTACTTTAACTTAGGTATTAAAATAATAAAATGAATAGAAAAGTTGGGAAAGATAATATGCAGGTGTTGTCATAGAAAAAGATATTCTGCTTCAAATTTAAAATTAAAAAGTTTCCCAGTTTAAAACAAGTATAAACCAATAAAATCATTATGTTAATAATTTTAATTTCATCTGGCTTTTAATAATATTCTTAAACGAGCATCAAATTACTGAAAAACAATCTAAAAAATTCATGAATGTGTTGTTAGCCTTGTTCTTAAAATGTGGAAAGTACCTACATATTACATTTATATCTTTATTTATATGTATTATATATATTATATAAGCTAGCAAATTGATCAATGCGTTTTGATACCGAATTATAACGAATGTAGAAATGGAGCGAGGTTTAATCCAAAAAACTTGTGGAAAATGGTATAGTCATATTATATTTATAAAATGCACTGCACAGACACTACGTGACGGGTTTTTATTTTTTACTCTGAAACTAGAAGCTTTTTTTTTTTATTTTTCGGATTACCGGCACCAACAGCGGATGTTATGCGAAAATGTTTTAGTTTATGTATATGCGAACTACGCACAACAAATCGTTAATCGATCTAATCGGTATGCATGTTTCAATATACCGTGTGTAGGTGATTTAGTTTTTACCTGATTGCCACCTTGTTGGTGGCACTGCCACAAATCGACGGGCTTGTTGGCATCGCCTTTCGAGTCTACGCACATATTCGACACAATGTTTTTTATCTGTAATGCGGGGTTAAAAAAAAAAAAAACAAACAAAACATAATGAATACAAGCAAAATAGAAATGGAAGAACGCGTCACTTCGCGTTCAGATCAGGCGAGAACCTTTGTGTGTTGTAAGTACACGAGTTGGGTTATAGTTTTAGGGTATAGTCATTAGTCATTACCTACTCATCATGATATATTTAGTTATATTAAGGTATAATGTGCGAGCATAAAAGTCTCTACTACGCATGCACAGTGCACAGGATTCGCCTAACGTTTATTTCTACAGTCTAATTAATCCGTTAAAAATAAAATAAATTTTCATCATTCCAAAACGAAAGTGTAAGCAGGATGCGCAAAAGACAGGAAAACTTTACGACAGGATGTGTTGATTATTATTGTACCGGCTCGACCTCGACAACACTGTATGCAAAACAGGCCACAAAAGAAAGGTAATAATCCCACCTGATTGCCACCCATTTTGTGACAGGGATAGAGTCCGGCCGGTTTGTTGAGGTCGGTCTTTCTGGCAGGTGAGTCCAGACAAGTTTTGTTGCCGTATCCTAAATTTCGCACCTGATTCCCAATGCACAAATTTAAATACACAACGTTTAAAATATTACACACAATTAATAGAGATTATATTATATTATACCATTCGTGTATCAATAATGTTACCTAATAACAGCGAATCCAGAAAATTGTTGTAAATATAAAATTTTAAAAACATTCGCTTCGAATTTACGAAACAAATGTTTAAAATAAACATGTCGAATTAATAATCGCATATGGTAATAATTAGTACCTACCCTCATATTTGTTACGAATTAATTTCGTATGAAAAAATAATCATATTATTTAATTGTTACAGTTGGTCAAACAAATATTATTTTACTGATGAATGATTTACAACAATATATCCTATTAGATCGGTAATTATTGAAAGTAGTTAGAGTAATTAATTTATGAACATTTTCAACGTTTATTTAAAGAGGGACTATTTCCATGGAAAACAATCTAATTGCATCAATTTGTTTCAAAATATTTGCACAACATTCAATATGGTCTGTAGGGATTCGTTTCGTGTTTTGTTTGTAACATTAAACACGGTTATGTGAAGCATAAAAACGGTAAATAAAATATGATGGTCGGAAATAAGTAATTCGATGTTTGAAAAAAGTGTACTTACTGAAAGATAAAAAATATTGTTATTTATAGTGCCTACTTTTGTATACAAAATATATTACGATGGGTTTGAATTATTCGTAAATATTATATAGTATTACCTATTTAATTTCGTAAGTGTATGTCCGATATCATTACGTTAAATAAACACAAAGTTAATGAAAAATAAATGTGGTCGGAACAAAAGTTTGAAAATGTTTCATCTGATGGAGGGAAATCCACTTAGAAAAGAACCAGACAGTAATTGTTTTCCGCGGGTCAATGAAATGAAACACATACGAAATAGTATTTTCCAATCAAACAAAATAAGAAAATATTACAGGGGGTCTAGGAAGTTTGCAAGATAAACTTATTTCCCTAAAAACTTTTTTGTGCGCGTGAGAGATGATGACTGTGACCTAAGTATATATTCCCAGTCTCGTACACGATGTATGTTTTTTTTACCTCTCCAGACGCCACGGCATCGCCTGGTATGAAAAGTTCCGGGTATATGTTCTCCAAATACCATTTGAACGACTTGCACTTCAACTTTCTTCTCAGCTCTTTGCGAGACGTTATGTCACCGTAATCACCCTGTATCAAACAAAACCGTGTATTTTATTATATAATATTTAAACAGTAAAATATGCATTCGGTGTTAGTATAGTTTATTGTAAGGTAACTGGACGTATTTATTTTGAATGTCAATTCAAAATTAATACGTGTATACAGCAGTTCTAGCGCCTTTTTAAACAAGGTTATTCAATTATCCATATAGTTTTTACCAAATCAAACTTCGCGGTCGCTGTTGTGTTAATTTTTGAAAGGGGTCTGTTGTACGAGTGTTATAATGATATTATGTTTATGTATACTGTCCTTCTTGAATACAGTTTAGCGCACAGTCAATTAATATGTTTATGCTTTAAACAGCGTTGAGTAAATAATTGTCGTGGATTTATTTAAAGTCTTATCGCGCGGCGGGTGAATACTACACGGACAAATTTCTCTAAGTCGACAACAAAAATAATACTTTTGTAATTATCGCCATAATTAAAGGTTACTTCGGATCAATGGTGTATTAAACGACCACAAATACTTTTTTTGACCAGGGAATAATTTTATATTGTAACTGGGAAAATTATTTTTTTTTTATCAAGGCACAAAAAAAGTTTTTGTTCACATCGGAATGGTTATCATTGAAATCAACTAATTAGATCTACTTTATACAAAATAGGTACTGCACAAGTTTGATAAGTTATGTAATTTTTATACTATGTTGTATAATATATTTTTAACTTATATAGACAAATAAATTAGATTGGTGACTTCAACTGTTTTTGTATGTTTTATTTGAATGTGCTGTTTATGATTGAATATAAGTAAATGCGTATAGGTGCAGTAGTTGTGTTAGTTAAATCGAGTATTTTAATACGTTTAACTCAACAATACAAAATTATCAATTAAATGTCTACATTGAATAGGTACAATTGAATAATGTTTATTATTAGTGAAAATATATAAATTGTGTTGTAACAAAATATATTTTTTAAATGTTAGCTTTGGGTTAACTTTTGCATGAACATTTCTAGCTAAGATGCTTAATTTTTCTCTCAGCACCTTGTTTATACATAGATGGTCATCTAAAGATTAGAATATAAAATTGGAAGATACTTCATATATAATTTTAATATACTCGTACTTGTAACCGTAAAAATAGAAAATAGGTACGCAAATACTAAAAACTGTCGAACATGAGAAAGTAGGATTTTTAGCAGTAGAGGTATGAAATATGATGCCGAGTACGGGTAAAATAAAAAAAAATGATATATTTGATAAATTTCTTACCAGATCGTTGCCGATCCGTTCGTAATAGTACTTGGCGTAATCGTCCATCCACACTTCGGCTAGACGGATGGAGTTCTTCTTCAAAACGTTGACGCCCGTTCGCCACTTGTACGGCGATCTCTTTCTGAAAATATGACCGACGTGCGAACACGGCACTATCTCCAACGTACCACCACACATCCACGTCTGCACCACACGAAAGTAACACATGACAGAATAATACGTACCATAATTTATTTATGTTATACACTATTTTGATATGAAATATTGTGACGAATAATAATTATAATTGATTATTTGATTAATCAATTAAGCATTTATTGTAAGAATCATTTGATCACTTTGATCACAGATATGCGCAGTCCTGTTTTAATAATATATATTACTCCATAGATAACATTTGGGGTTGGTTGGAGGGGGGATGTAATTGCCTTCTGGTATTATTTTTTTTGAGGGTTCAAATCGATACGGGGAAATCGGGGTGTGAGGTAATTGTGACGAGAGGTACCCCTCCCTCAGAAATAAATGAAAACGAAAACTATTGCATGAGATCTGATGCATTAAAACTTTGTTTTTTTAAAGTTAAAATTTACATTTTAAGTACACGTGTCTAAAAACAGTTCAGGAATTATGAATTATGAAATAAATTTTACTATTCTAACTAGTTTTCATATTCTATAATCCCGAAGTTATCCATATGGTAAAGCTCATTGTTGAGCACTTTTCCTAAAATAACAACTTTTACGTTAAACGTACCTTGAATGATAGTTCTAAGTTTTCACCTCCCCATATATCGAAGCCACTATCGTAAGTACCGAGTCGCTCGAAGAACTTTTTGTCAATTGCAAAAAGGCCGCCGGCCATTGTTGGCGACCACACCGGCTCCGCAGCGTTCTTATGTCGCTTTTTTTCTTTGTCTGGTACAACATGCCAATTGAACTGGAAAAAAATAAAATAAAATTCTTTATAATATATTGTAATGAATATTCTTTACATAATCGTCGCCATTTGCAATGACTGAAAATTTAAATTATCGTACTGTACCAATATAAATTTAAAAATATATACGATGTACCTACGCATAAGTATTAAGTAGTAGGTACAGTGAAATTATTCATGTAGTACCATCTATACCTACCTACTTACATGATATAACAGAAACGTACTAAAATAAAATTATACTTTAAAATGTTTTAATGTTCTAATCAAATGATGTAACCACACTATGTACAGTGTCGTCATGCACACAATTAAAAAATAATATTTTAAAAATATTCATTGCGCGTTGCCGAGTTTATATTTTATGAAATATGTAAAACCTATAGAACGCGATAGCGTGTTTGTCTGTGAGTAGGTATGCGCTAAAAGAAAATATGTCGGACAAAAAAAGCGAAGTCCAACGCTTTAAAATGTGTATAACGTAAGGTTGGAAAATAAAACGATTTAAATATTACGTTATTCACAGCGTAATGTAGGTATATCACGTGGACGATGGTTGAAGGGACATTATTTATATTTATTATTATGTTTAGGTAGGTCTTAGTAATATTTAAATAAATAGTAAAGTTATAACTTACAGCCTGCAGGCTCGGTCAACTTATCAATAAACGTCATGTTAATAATAAATTCACTATTGTACACAGGTAACCTACCTACAATATACATTTTTATATTTTTGCTACACATAAAAATATTACAACATTTGATTCCGCGCGTGCTTGTGATGCCTAATCTTGTTGCATTAAGTTTATTATATATTATTGACATTCGGTAAGTATACCTAGACATCTGTATGTGGAGTTTGACAGGGCATAATATGACATTTATGGAAGTTTGATTGTAAATGAAATAAATGTGACTATTTTATAATTTTATTAATTATCGTGTTTTACGTAAAAAACATGCAATGGTAGTATTGACTGTCATATTTTTCATAACGAAAAAAATAACTTATTTAAAATATGTATGTTATAAGAATGGCAAATC